TCATGATCTTGTGATTTGTGAGTTTGAGCCCTGCCTTGGCCTCTGTGTTGACAGCTCAGAGCCTGGAACCTGCTTCTGATTCTGTGTCTCCCTCTCTTGCTCTGTCCCTCCCCTGTTCATGCGTTCTCTCTCTCTCTCTCAAGAATAAATAAAACATTAAAAAAAAAAGTAAAGCCTAGATTGTCTGATATAAGTATGACTGTTTTGGCTTCCTTTTAGTGACTATTAGTGTGATAGATGGTTCTCCATCCCCTTACTTTCAATCTGAAGGTATTTTAAGGTGTAAAATGGATCTCTTGTAAACAGCATATAAATGGATCCTCTTTTCTTATCCATTCTGTTACTCTATGTCTTTTGATTAGAATGTTTAGTCCATTGATATTTGGAGTGAGTACTGAAAGATATGAATTTGTTGCCATCATTTTGTCTGTAGAGTTGGAGTTTCTGGTGGTATTCTCTGTTCCTTTCTAGTCTTTGTTGTTTTTGGTCTTTTTTGATTTTTTTTTTCATCTTTTTTTTTCCCTTAGAGAGTGCCCCTTAAAATTTCTAGCAGGGTGGGTTTAGTGATCACGAACTCCTTTAATTTTTGTTTGCCTGGAAATCCTTTTATCTCTTCTTATATTTTGAATGACAGCCTTGCTGGATAAAGAATTCTTGGATGCATATTTTTCTGATTCAGCATATTGAAATATCCTGCCACTCCTTTCTGGCCTGCCAAGTTTCTGTGGACAGGTCTGATGCAAACCTGATCTGTCTTCCTTTGTAGGTTAAGGACTTTTTTTCCTTGCTGCTTTCATGATTCTTTCTTTGCCTGAGTATTTTGCGAATTTAGCCATGATATGCCTTGTTGATGGTCGGTCTTTGTTGAATTTAACGGGAGTTATCTGTGCTTCCTGGATTTTGAGGTCTGTGTCTTTCCCCAGGTTAGGAAAGTTTTCTGCTAGGATTTGCTCACATAAACCTTCTACCCCTTTTTCTCTCTCTTCATCTTCTGGGACCCCTATGATTCTCATGTTATTCCTTTTTAATGAATCACTGAGTTCTCTAATTCTTGTATAGTTCTCTTTTGCCTTAGTCTCCCTCTTTTTTTCTGCTTCATTATTCTACATAAGTTTGTCCACTATATCACTGGTTCACTGCTCTGCTTCATCCATCCTTGCCACCGTGGCATCCATTCAAGGTTACATCTCAGTTATAACATTTTTTTTTTTAATTTTTTTTTTTCAACGTTTATTTATTTTTGGGACAGAGAGAGACAGAGCATGAATGGGGGAGGAGCAGAGAGAGGGAGACACAGAATCGGAAACAGGCTCCAGGCTCTGAGCCATCAGCCCAGAGCCTGATACGGGGCTCAAACTCACGGACCGCGAGATCGTGACCTGGCTGAAGTCGGACGCTTAACCGACTGTGCCACCCAGGCGCCCCTCAGTTATAACATTTTTAATTTCATCCTTACTAGATTTTATGTTTATTATCTCCACAGAAAGGGATTCTATGCATTTTCCAGCCCCAGCTAGTATTATTATTATCATGATTCTAAATTCTGGTTCAGACATCTTGCTTGTATCTGTGTTGATTAAGTCCCTGGCTGTCATTTCTTCCTGTTCTTTCTTTTGGGGTGAATTCCTTCGTTTCATCATTTTGAAGGAAGAAAAGGAATTAATAAAATTAAAAAAATTAAAATTAAAAAATGAAAACAACACAAAAAAATCAAATAAAGGATGCTATATCCTATGTTTTGGTCTGGTTGTTGAAAGAAACTTTGTACAATAGAGAAAAAAAGGGAAAATAGAGAAAAGAAAAAAAGAAAACATTTGAAAATTAAAAAAAAATGAACACAATAGAATAAAATGAAATGATGAAAGTAAAATAGAATTTAAAAAATTAACAAAAAATATAGTATAAGAAAATTAAAGAAAATCTTTTTTATAAAACTGGAAAATAAAATATTTTTTTTCTCTTTCTGTATTCACGAATAAAAGAAAAAGAAAAAAATTAAATAAATGGGTCAGTGAACAGAATGAAATACTATGGAAATTACCTCTAGTTTCCCCTGGAAGTCAAACTATGAAGCACTTTACAGTCCGCAAACTAAGCTGGCAGAGAGACCTGTGGTGTTCCTCAAGGGTGTGGTTGGCCCAGTTGGGCAGGTTTTGCTGTAACAGCTCCATTCTCCACTAGATAGTGCTGCTTAGTTTACTGGGGTTGATGGTTGTGTTGTGTGTAGGCATGTAAGAGTGTGTGCAGCAGGGGAGAAAATGGTGTCACCCAGCTACCCAGTCCCTAGTTTCAGACTCTGTGCTCTCCCCATAGGACAATCAAGCACCCCTACTTTTCTCTGTCTTCAGTCCACTCCTTGCTTCTATACTGTCCACAACCAAACCATCAGCCTTCCAGGCAGCACCTCCTTCCCAAATTTTATCTCAGATGGGGCTGTGTTTCCAAATCCCTCACTTCTGAAGGCCCTGTAGCTATGACCTCTCAGACCCTCTGGAGGAGGGTCTTGCAGAGCAATGGAACATTCATGTGACTATGATGCTGTATATGCCCAGAGACTGTGGCTGGGTGCCAGCCTGCCCCAGAAAATGTTGGCACAATTGTGTAGCAGTAGCATTTCAGGGATTATGGTAAATCACAGCACACATCTGGCATCAGGCTTCACCCTTAACATCCTTATTCCAACACCAGTGAATGTGGTTGTTCTCTGGGTCCACTAGGACCTTTGCCTGTGGTGAAGCTGTACAGTCTCTACCAAATGTCCTCCCAAAATGAGAACCATCTCTTCCCATGTGACCCGAGGACCCCTCAGACCTCACTTTCTGCTCCTGGGGATTAGCCCTCCTCAGCAAAGCTCCTCCAGGTATTGAGCTGCAGAGTTTCAGACTCTGTTCTCTCCCTGTTTATAGAGTCTTAATGGAATTTAAACCCTCTTATTTCTCCTTTCTCCCTTTTCTGTTCAGTCCTTTGTGGCTATTTCCTCTTTCTCTCCAGTTGCTTTGGGGAGGGGTGCTTTTACTGTACTCTCCCCCCATGTCCATCCTCTCTCTGCAAGCAAAAACAGCTCCCTACCATGTGAGACTTGTCGCTCCCTAAGTTCATCTCTCCATGCTGCGTACCTGTCAGGGTCTTTGGTTTAAGTTGTGCAGATTGTTGTGTTAATCCTCAAATCAAGTTTTCTAGGTGTGTAAGATGGTTTGGTGTTAATCTAGCTGCATTTCAGGGACTAGAGAGGCAAAAAAAACTTTCATGCTGCTCTGCCATCTTGGCCCCTCTCAGAAAGTGTCTTTCTTTTACTTTCTAATGATACATTTGACCTGATGATGATTCCTTTTTTATCTGAAATCTGACGTCTTGAATCCTGTAGGGTGATTCCCTTCTGACTCATTGAACTTCTTGTTGACCTGTATTACTGGATTCAGTTCCTCTGCCTGCCTTGTCAAAATTCGCATGTGCTGATCTCAGTCTTTTCATTTCACTTTGCAACTTCTCCCAAATAACTTTACACACTTTTGTGGTTTGAAGTAATGTGAAGTTTTTACTGCAATTATGCTTCCTAACTATGTATTTCTAATAATTTTTTCCTGAACTTCAAGCTGTAAATGCGCCTGCCCGATATGTGGCCATATCTTGACATTCCACAGACATTTTAGGCTGTATATATCAAAAAATAAACTCACTATTTTTGGGCCCTCTCCTTGACATTCCCTTGCATTTTTGTTTCAGTTTGTGTTCCCTTCAATTCATTCAGTTACCTATTTCATAAACATGTCAATCATCCTTATGACCTCTTCCTTCTTAACCCAGAAACACAACATTCAGTTGTACAGTTTATACACTGAAAATGTAGGCCCAGACCTGACCATAGGGATGGATTCAGGAGTTGGCAAATATTTTTCTGTAAAAAATATTCAGGAGCTGTATATAGTAAATACTTTGAGTTTTGCATAGCATATGGTTTTTCTGTTGCAACTACCCGATTCTGCTGCTGTAATGTGAAAGCTCCATAGACAACATGTAAACACATGAATGTGGCTGTATTCCAATGAAAATTTACTTACAGTAACAGGTACAGTGTGCCATTTCCTGGGATGGAGCTAGGATTGCTGAAATTCAGCCTATGTTCTACTTGGCTAAACCATGGGTCCAACACAGGCAATGTTATTGGACTAAAAGTCATCATGCCTTTAGCCTCCATCTCTAAATTTGATCATCTCATCATTTTAACTTTACTTTCCAAATATTTCTTGAATACATGCCTTTTCTTTTCTAAATTCGTTGCCATTAACTAAATTTAGTCCTCAACTAGTATTTCAAAGCCTTCCTAGTCTGACTTTCAAATCTTATAAACAAATCTTATAAACAAAATTCAAATCAAACCATGCCACCCACAACATGAAAAGAAAGTTCTTATGTACTTTATTGAAAGCACATTTGATATGATTTTCTAGTCTCATCTGCTATCACTTTTTCTGTTGAGCTTTATATTCCAGTAACACTGAATCATCTGTAGTCCCAAGAAGGAGTTATCTCTATTTATCCACTATCTCTTCTTTTTTACTGCCTTCCCATTTTCAAATTGTCACATACCAAAGTCACTTTCAGACTCTAATACTAGTCCCAATTCTCATATTTCTACAAATACTTCCCTTTAATATCCTACAACCACTGACAGAATTAACAACTCCCTCTTCTTTGCAATTTATTAAGCTTATACACATATCAGTAACCGAACATATTACACTGCATATACACAGATATATCTGACTACACTTTTTTCTGCCTTAGTAGACCATATGCTCTTTAAGCCCAAGGATTGTATTTCAGTCATCTGTGAGTGTACAGTGCTTAGCATAAGTCTCAGCATGGCATGAATTCTCAATATTTGTTCAACTGAACTGACCTGAATTCTACTTTAAGACTGAAATTTGAAAGAAGCTACTGCCTTGATGCTGCTTCCCAAAGAGGTCAGAAATACTGAGATGTTTATATTTTGAATGCAGAAAGAACTTCCAGATCATTATAGACCTTGGATGGAAATTGCTAACAAACTCCCTCACTTGATTGAGAGTCACCAGCTTCAAGCTCAAGTGGACAAGGTATATCTTTTTTTCATTCTCCTTAAGTTCTTCTCACCTTCCTATTTTCATCCCCGTACCACTTTTTTTTCTCAGCACTGTGAAAGTGGGTCAAGGACCCAGGGACACCAAATGTTGCCACTGAGATTACCAAAAAGGGTATCTCACATTTCCTAAAGAGTGGAATGACTACTTCTTCATATGACACATGTATTTCCGTAAAATTTCCAGAGTCTGCACAAAACAATTTCTGGAACATATTAAGCCCTCAACAAATATTTGCCTAAAAAAGGAAGGCAGTCTGGTTGGGAATTGTAGGCAAGTTGATGGATAAGGTCTACCTTGAGAAGGATGAGCATAGAAATTCTCAGTGTCCTCATTGCATGTCACATGGTCAGGTTTCCTCTGCCTTAATTTTACCATCCGGGTCTTAGAGAGTATTGGACTCAAGAGAATTGCTGAGTTTTAAAGTCAGGGTTGGTAGGTCTGCAAAAATAATTGATAAAAGGAGCAATATTTTCCAAGAGTGAATAAGAGACAATGAAATTTCTTGGTCCTGGAAGTACTGACATTACCACACAGTAATAATAAGAAGATATAATTGGAGGAATATAGACTTTGATTTGGAAAGACCTGAGTTTGAGTCTTGGTTTTTATCACTTAGTAGCTATCTAACTTGTAAACAGATTACTTCACCCAAGTAACTCTGCTTCCTTATTTATAGAAGAGGAGTAATTCTGGTGTCATAGAGTTGTGGGAACTACATGGCTTTGAATAACCCTCTGTATTCCTTGCTACTTCACAGTGCTCAATATATATTTATATTTCCATCTAGTCTCCTCTCCATCAGCTTTAATCCCACCTATTTGGAATACCATGTGGTTTCAGAGATACAAGAAAGGTTTTTCATTCTCTCAAACTCTCCATCACTGACTTAAACATATTTAGTATCTATAAATACTAATGCATTTAAATATACTTCCTAGATGTCTGCTAAGTTCAGGCACAAGATTGGAAATCCTGGAAAAGATTCAAGAGACTGTCTTCAACATTTATGAAAATGGCAAATTAAACCTAAGAATGTATTTTCCTGCTGCATAAAGTCTTATCAATATGACAAAGAAATACAAGAAGAAGAAAAATAATAAAATATCTTTAAATGCAGGAAAACAAGAGAAAGTACCAAAGGTGGATAAAACTAAAAAACTGTATCACATCAAGCAAATTACATCAGAGTCTGTGGTATGCATGCCAAGCATTCAACCAAAGTAAATTAAGCCTCTATAGCCTCCCTCTCCCATGTCAGAGTAACAGGACATAGAAACAAGGTGGAGTCTGGTATAGTCTGTAGAAGGACAGATTAAGATTCAATTTGTGAACTACACAATTCTCTGCACCAGGCTTTCCTCAGGTTCTGTTTGATTAAACTGTCATGAGTGAAATGAAGGACTCATTGAATTGGTGGTCTTCATATGTTAAATATCAATGAGAAAAAGCTAGGAGTGTCCAGCTAACTTCTGGCCACTGAATACATGGGAGATGGGGAAACAGCTTAGTACAGCAGTGAAAATAATCCCCAGACACTTCTACTGGGTTGAATAGTGTTTCACCAGAAATAGTGTCCATTTGGAAACTGTGACTGTAACCTTATTTGGAAATAAGGTCTTTGCAGATAAAATCAAGGTAAATGAGGTCATACTGTATTAGGGTGCACTCTAATCCAATATGACTGGTGTATTTATAAGGAGAAAGAAATATGGCCAGAGACCTACGAACAATTGGGGAAGAACACCATATGAAGATAGAGGCAGAGATAGAAATAATGTATGTATAAGCCAAAGTGTCAACAGTTGCTGGTAATCACCAGAAACTGAGAAGGGAACATGGAACAGATTGTCCCTCAGAAATTCCAGAGAGAACCAACCTTACAAACACCTTAATTTGAGACTTCTATTGTCCAGAATTGTGAGTTCTATAGTTTTAAGCTTCTGAGTTTGTGTTCATTAGTTGAGGCAGCCCTAAGAAACTATTACAACACTCTTGGCCAGTCTCTACATTTCTAATTACTTAAAAAAAATCTAACTACATGAAACCACTTTTAAGACTTCACTGGGGCACTTGGCTGCTCAGTTGGTAAAGCATGAACCTCTTGATCTTGGTGTTGTAGGTTTGAGTCCCACACTGGGTGTAGGGATTACTTTTAAATTAAAAAAAAAAAAAAGATTTTTAAAAAAGGACTTCACCAGCTCAGGCTCATACTGAATCAATTGGAAATCAATCATAAAAAGTAATCATTATGGTTTCCAGGGCCATATACGGAGCTACAGACTAAAAACATGTTCTCTTGAGACCTTTACTTTGCGCAGGCAACACAATAATTGAATTTACAGTTTTGATCTTAAAGTACCTCAAGGCCAACCACCTTGCTCTTAGAAAGCCCCAATATACCTATCTATGTTTAGGTACAAAACAAACAAACTTTTTTTGGTTTAGATGCATCCATCTTCCAGAAAGCGTCCCCTTTCTCCACTCCACTGCTACAAAACATTACAGGCAACAGACTTGCTCACAGGAAGCTACACAAGAGGAATCTCAGTAGGATTCTGGAAACATGATAAGGGAAGCTATATTAGCTATTATTTCTGGTAAAACTGACCACCATTCCTGAACATGAATAGATAATATCAAATTACCATGTGATATAAAGAGAAGGGGTAAGTCAAAAAGCAGTAAGAAGGGTCTGGACATTCAGAACAAACGGCTGTGATGAAATCAATGTTTTTAAACATATTAAAGCAGCAGAATACCCATTCTTTTTGAAAGCACATGGAACAGTTAGAGAATGGATAATTTACTGGGGCACAAATCACCCCTCAACTACAAAAAGATTGAAATCATACTATGAATATTTTATAACAACAATGCCATGAAGCTTGAAGTTAACCACATGAAAAATTATGGAAAGACCACAAATACATGAAAGTTAAAGAACATCCTACTAAAGAATGAGTGGGTTGACCAGGAAATTAAAAATGAAAGTAAGAAGCATATGGAAGCAAATGAAAATGAAAACATGACAGTTCAAAACCTTTGGGATGCAGAAAAGGGAGTCCTAATAAGGAAGCATATTGCAATACAGGCCTATCTAAAGAAGAAATAAAAGTCTCAAATACACAAGCTAGAAGAGGAACAATAAATAAAGTCTAAAGCCCATGAAAGAAGGGACATGATAAAGATTAGAGGAGAAATAAGTGATAGAGAAACAAACAAACAAACAAACAAAAACAGCAGAACAGATCAGTAAAACCAAGAGCTGGTTCTTCAAGAGAATTAATAAAATTGATAAGCCCTTAGCCAGACTTAACAAAAAGAAAGGAGAAAGGACCCAGAAAATAAAATCGCAAATGAAAAGGGAGAGATCACAATCAATACCACAGGAATACAAACAATTATAATAAAGCCTTATGAAAAATTATATGCCATCAAACTGGGCAATTTGGAGAAAAATGGACAAATTCCTAGAAACATACAAACTACCAAAACTGAAACAGGAAAAACTAGAAAATTTGAACAAATCCATAACCAGCAAAGAATTTGCATCAGTAATCAAAAATCTCCCAACAAACAAAAGTCTTCTCAAACTGTTCCAAAAACTAGAAATGAGAGGAAAACTTCCAAAGTCATTTTACAAGGTCATCATTATCTTGATTCCAAAACCAGACAAAGACCCCACTAAAAAGGAGAATTACAGGCCAATATTCCTGATGAACCTGGATGTAAAATTTCTCAACAAGATGCTAGCAAATCAAATTCAACAGTATTAAAAGAATTATTCACCATTATCAAGTGAGATTTATTTCTAGACTGAAGGGCTGGTCAATATTCACAAATCAATCAATGTTATACACCACAGTAATAAAAGAAAGGGCAAGAACCATATGATCCTATCAACAGATCCAGAAAAATCATTTGACAAAATATAGCATCCATTCTTGATAAAAACCTTCAACAAAGTAGGGATAGATGGAACATGCCTCAACATCATAAAGGGCATATATGAAAGATCCACAGCTAATATCATCCTCAATGGTGAAAAACTGAGAACCATTTCTCTATGGTCAGGAATAAGACAAGGATATCTATCTACTCTCACCATTACTATTTAATATGGTACTGAAAGTCTTAGCCTCAGCAATCAGAAACAAAAAGAACTAAAAGGCATCCAATTGGCAAAGAAGACATTAAACTTCTTCTCTATTTGCAGAGAACATTATACTCTATGTAGGAAACCCAAAAGTTATAAAATTGTTAGAACGAATACATGAATTCAGTAAAGTCACAGGATATAAAGTCAACATATAGAAATCTGTTGCATTTCTATACACCAGTAATAAAGCAGCAGAAAAAGAAATAAAGGAATTGATCCCATTTGCAATTGCACCCAAAACAATAAGATACATATGAATAAACCTAACCAAAGAGGCAAATGAACTGTACTCTGAAAACTATAGAACACTTATGAAAGAAACTGAAAAAGACACAAGAAATGGAAAAAACATTCCAGACTCATGAATTGGAAGAACAAACATTGTTAAAATGCCCATACTACCCAAAGCAATGTATACATTCAATGCAATCCCTATCAAAATACCACCAGCATTTTTCACAGAGCTAGAACAAACGATTCTAAAATTTGTATGGAACCACAAAAGACCCCAAATAGCCAAAGCAATCCTGAAAAAAAACAGCAAAACTGGAGGCATCACGACTCCAGACTTCAAGCTTTAATGCAAAGCTTGTCCTCAAGACATTTGTCCTCAAGACAATATGGTACTGGCACAAAAACAGACACATAGATCAGTGGAACAGAATAGGAAACCCAGAAATGGACCCCCAACTAT